TCTGAGACAAAGAGAATTTCTTTTTTTATTGGTGGTGCTCACTCAGGACAGAACTTCTTGCATGCTAGGCAGGTGCTCTACCACAGAGTCACACCCCCAGCTTTCTCCACTCTGATTTATGGTTTCACTGAATAAGGGGACAAAATCTGGAGAATTTAAGCCAGACACAGTGGCTTAATACCTGTAGTCCCAACAACTCTGAGGCTGAGGTGGGAGGATCACCTGAATTTATGAATTTAAGACCAGTCTGGGCAATATAGACCTCAAAACAAAACAAAACCAAGGCAAACAACAAAAACCCAACCCTCTCTCCAAAAACCCTTGAATTTAGAAGAGAACTCAAATTCAATTTACGATAGAAAAATTTTTTAAAAAAATATTTTTTAGTTTTCAATAGACCTTTATTTTATTTATTTACATGTGGTGCTAAGAATTGAACCCACTGCCTCACACATGCTAGACAAGTGCTCTCCCACTGAGTCACAACCCCAGACCCTCAATTTATGATAGAAATTTTAAGTTAGCATTTTATAGTGCAAATCCTTTTTTTTTTTTTTTTTTTTTGGTCCAGGGATTAAACCCAGGAACTCTTAATTATTGAGCCACATTCCCAGCCCTTTTAAATATTTTATTTATATTTTACTTTATGGCTTAGTTGCTGAGGGTCTTGCTAAATTGCTGAGGCTGGCTTTGAACTCATGATTCTTCAACCTCCCAAACTGCTGATATTATAGGCGTGCTCCATTGTCCGGTTTAAGCAAATTCTTTAACTTAACATGTTGAAGGCAGCTGAACTTTGTACTCCGAAAAGACAACCTAAAATGCTATTTTTTCATACCTACTTTCTCTTTGTATTTTTATATCATTTAAAAACTATTAAAAAACATAATATTAGACTATTATTTTTGTAAAGAAAAGTTAAGGCTAAAAATCACCTAACACTTAGCTCATAATTACAAATATATGGAATTATTTCCTGAATATATAAATACTAAAAACTTATAGCATTGGAAGCCAATATGCAGTTTTGAAAATCTTTAGAATACAACTTAACTCTCAGTATGGGAATAGATACTTTTAAGTCAATATTTTTGAGCTAATACTAATATAGAAAGTATAAACTCTTTGTGGGCAGGTTTCAAATGTTTTAGAATTTTTTGTTTAGAATTGTCCTACTTGGCCGGGCACAGTGGTACATGCCTGTAATCCTGACAGCTCGAGGCAGGAGGATAGCAAGTTCAAAGCCAGCCTTAGCAATTTAGTGAGGCCATAAGCAACTTAGCAAGACTCTGTCTCTAAATAAAATATTAAAAAGGGCTGGGATGTGGTTTAGTGGTTAATGCCCCTGGGTTCAATCCCCAGTACCCCCCCCTCCCAAAAAAAAAAAAAAAAGAAAAAAAAATTGTTCTACCTGTTTTCTTTTTTTCATTTAATTTCATTTTCACCAAGTGAGTTGGTGATCTCATTCACATTACAGGAACATGTACGGCCTCATCATAACTAAGTAACTGCTGAAAAGTCAAGCTAGAGCTCTTTAATAAAATGAGAAACTTTAAAATGTTTACTTGTTCTCTTTTTAAATTGCTCATTTGAATTGTTGAAATTTTATTGATTAAAACTATGAGTTAAATTAGGTAATTTTTCCAGGCCCTTGATTAGTGTGATGCAAACTAGTAGCCTTGGGTACAAACTGTCAAGAGGCAGTGGCTCTTGGGTGTTGACCCTGCACCTGGCACTGCCCTGAGAATGGCGCCTCCTTAACATTTTGTGCTCTAGGTGCCTTACTTGCCTCACTCTAGTAATGGTTCTGATTTTCACTTTCAAAAATATTTATCAAACGTTAGAGGGAAGAGGGGTTAGGGCTTAGTTTAGTAATAGAGTATTTTCCCAGCATGCTCTAGACTCTGGGTTTGATCCCTAGCATAGAAAAAAAAAAATCGGTTATTTATTTATTTATTTACTTGTGGTGCTGGGGAGCACCACACTGATCCATATTCCTAGTCCTTTTGAATTTTATTCTGAGACAGGGCCTCAGTAATTGCTGAGGCTGGCCTTGAATTAGCAATCCTCTTTCTTCAGCCTCCAGAGTTACTAGAATTGCAAGTGTATGCCCTGGGCCCTCAATTATTTTTATCTGACCCTTATCTATTGGTTATTCTGAGCATGTGAACTTCAAAACCATAAATATTCATAAGTGAATAAATCAATATTCATGAAATGAATAAACCAATCCTATGTAGACCCTTTGTTTTGTTGGGCAAATGATCAAGTGAATGGCCAAGCGTTTCCTGGGGTCAACAGTGGTGATCTTTCCATATAACCAGCCTGCATAGACCTTTGCATCTTAACACACTATGCATGTTGGTATTTAATGGTTCTTAGAAAAAGATAACAAACTTGGGTCTGATTTTCTTTACTAAGCTTTAATTTTTACTTTGCTTCAAAAAAAAAAAACAAAACAAAACCAAAAAAAAACACTGCTTTTCTTTAGATGGCTGGTATTATGAAGAGCCCAACATTAGATTATTAACTATAATTTCCAAGTGAAGATATACTGTCAAATACATAAAAACTACCTGATAATTATTTAATTAGATATGCACCCATACAAATTTCACTGATGCCTTGCAGTAGCAGGAAATGCATATAAGTAAAACTTTTCAGTTATTATTTGGACTCATTTCAAGTGATTGCAAATATGACATAAAATATATGAATTAAAATTGCTTATATGTAGTGTGCAGCATATTTCTTTAAAATCAAATGAGAACCTCCACTCTAAAGAAAGAAAGAAAGAGGAAGAAAGAAAGAAACTGTTATGCAGCTTTATGGAAAAAAATGTTGTTGATATGACTGACTAGACATCAGTAATTATTATACTCTGTTAAATATTCAACTTCAAAAGCATGTGAAAGTTCCACATAATGAATGAATCAGGCTTTCACAGCCGAAAAACAATGATTTGAAGGCAGAATTCTAGGAATAATTGGGGGAAAAGAAAAGAAAAAGACTGGGGATGGGATGTAGTTCAGTGGCAAAGCACCCCAGGTTCAATCCCCAGTATGAAACAAACAAACAAAGTCATTTCTAAGATTAAGACAATCCTTCAATTCCTCTGACACCATTTCTAAGATATGTACCTTAAAACTGCTTCCAGTAATAGTCCTTAATATATCTTTCTCAAAATATATTTATAGTAACTTCTTCCTAAATGGCTGGTATACCTTTTCCAGACTAGAAAACAATGTTTTTAGGATACTCTTGAGTCAGTGATCTGCTTTGAATGTATCTTTTTCTTTTAGGATACCAAAATGATAAAGATGGCTAAAATGAGGCATTAGATAGGCCAGTGGTAAAAAATGCTTTGGATTATAAACTAGGCTTAACAATACCAAGTGTTGTCTAGGATGCATAGTTACTAGAACTCTCATTCATTGCCGGTAGAAATGCAAAAGTATACTCATTTTGCAGGGTGTGGTGGCACATTCCTGTAATCCCAGCAACCCTGGAGGCTGAGGCAGGAGGAAGATCACAAGCTCAAGGCCAGTCTTAGCCACTTAGCAAGGTCCTAAGCAACTCTGTGAGACCCTGTCTCTATATAAAAAATTAAAAGGGCGGGGGATGTGGTTCAGTGGTTAAGCATCTTTGGTTTCAATCCCCTATACCAAAAAAACAAAAAACCCCACTAATTTTGGAAAAGTCTAGCAGTTTCTTATAAACATTCACTTTAATTACCATTTACTCAGTTTGTGTCCCAGGGTATGTACCCAGAGAAATGAAAACTTAGGTTTACACAAAAATCTATATACAGCTATTTTATTCATAGATTAAATTAAAGCTGCTTTATTTATAATTTCATAATATATTACATCAAAATATTAATATAATAAATCAATAATTATAATATTAATATACCATATTATTTTATTTGTATACATCTGAAAATGGAAATGACTTAAATATCTATCAACTAGTGAACAGACCAACAAACTGTGGTAGGCCTATAAAACGAACTATCCCATTCAGTAACTGAAAAAAACCAGACTCAAAAGGCTACATATTGGGGCTGGAGTTGTGGCTCAGTGGTAGAGCACTTGCCTAGCATGCGTGAGGCGCTGGGTTCGATCCCTGGCACCATATAAAAATAAAACAAATAAAATAAAGGTATTGTGTCCATCTACAAATAAAAAAATATTTTAAAAAAGCTACATATTGACAATTTTAATTTTTATGACATCATGTGAAAGGTAAAACTGTAGAAAATAGATTAGTGGTTGTTAAGGCAGGGGATGATTAGGGAAAAGGGGCAACTACCAAGGGTGCATGGGAGACTTATTGGGGTGGTGAAATTATTCAGTATATTGACTGTGGTAGTAGTTACAGATTGTATGTTTGTCAGAAAAAAACAGAAATGTATGCCAAAATGAGTGAATCTTACTGTTTGTATATTATTCCTTAATAAATAAGACTGAAAAAAACAAAACAAAACTGGGCATGTATCTTGGGTACTAACTAGCATTTGGTAAGCCACTTAAAACTCATTTTTCTTCCTACAAAATGGGGATAATTATTTTAAAAGATTTCTGTTAAGGAACAAATGAAATAAAATAAAAGAACTGCATGAACTTTAAAGCTCAATACAAGTATTGTATATTAGGAACTGGGAGTCCACTCATACATAGACAGAGGCACACTAAAGAAATTTATTGTCTCATGGCAGAAAGAGATAAAATAGATAATGAATAAATAATGTGGAAATTCAGTGATAGAAATGTGAACAAATCAATACTGGTCAACAAGAGAAAGGGCATTCCAGAAATAAGAATTGACTCTAAGAATAAAATATATCACAAGTTGAATGAAAAGGGCCAGATCACAGTGAGATGCAAACATGAGAAGTTGTTAATGAACAGAGTCAACTGGGATCCAATAATCCTAACCCAACATGGATTCTGAAAATGCTTAAAATGGTAAAAATTATTATAAGATGGAAAAAGTACCTCACGATGATTTAGAAGTTGTTCTAAATCTAGTGCCATTTGATTCTTCATCTGTAGTAAAGCTGACTTTTCTTTATTTAAGTTGCTAGAAAAAAGAAACAACCCAAAGTTTTAATAAGTGATCATGCTGGTGTAAATTTAGTTAACAAATATTAAATAGCAAAATAGTAAACATAAATCTTAAAGATAAATTAAATTTGATTTCAAGTTGGTTTGACTTAAAAGATAAATTCAATTTGTAGTTAATAAAGATATCAGACCTGTCATTTTAATGCTTAATTTAATGATTAGCCTAGTCATTTTGTCAAAAGACCTTTTTTTTTTTTTTTGGTATCCAGATTGCATAGCCCTTTTTATTTTGAGACAGGGTCTTGCTAAGTTGCTTAGGGTCTTGCTAAGTTGCTGAAACTGGTTTTGAACATGTGATCCTCCTGCCTTGGCCTCCAAGTCGCTAGGATTACAGGTGTGCACCATGATACCAAGCAGAAGACTCTTTCAACAGTCATTTGACAATGAAAATGAGAGGCTTTCTACGAACACTTTCTTGCCTATCATAAGCATAAAATCAGTGTTTTAAATTTGACTATTTATTCATAAAATGTAAAAAGAAAGTAAGACTAAAGATAAAAAGAAATTACGTAAGTGTAAAACATTAAAACACAAAATATAGGAGGTCATATTAAAATATTTATACTTAAAAACTAAAAGTAGTATTTTTAAATTTACTGCACACTAAATTACCAGGTATAACTGAGTTAGGTAAATGAATTAGTTTGTGATACACTTGGGAAAATAATTTTTGTCTCTGAATTCTTAGTTCAATGTTAAGTTTCTAAGTCTGCACTGTGAATTTTCCCTTGATGTGACCAATTTTCTGACAGAAGAAGGGAGAAGGTATCTATGGGCCTAATTATAAGGACATATTAATATTTTAAAAGAGAAATATCTGGGACCTGCTTTCTATTGTCTGTAGTTTTACTATTCAACATACAGAAATTAGAACAATTAAGTGAAATATTCTTCTAATGCCATCAGAATAAATTTATTCAATCAGTACTCACAAGAATTAAGAAACAATAATAAACCATAGAAGCAATAATAAACCATAATTCCTCAAATGTTCAGACAAAATTTACAAGGGTAAAATTAATGAGAATTGTTTTGCTAAATATATAAAACATCTTTATGCTATACTTTAAGAAAATGGAAAGTTTTTTTTTTTTTCTGGTACTAGGGATTAAACTCAGGGGCACTAGACCACTGAACCACATCCCCAGCCCTATTTTGTATTTTATTTAGAGACAGGGTCTCCCTGAATTGCTTAGTTTCTTGCAGTTGCTGAGACTGGCTTTGAATTCACAATTTTCCTGTCTCAGCCTCCCAAGCCGCTGGGATTACAGGTGAGTGCCACTGCACCTGGCTATGCTGACAATTTTTAAAGTATTAGGCAGAAGTTTTTTGTTTTTTTTTTAAATGTGGTACCAGGGATTGAACCCAGGGCCTCATGCATGCTAGGCAAGCACTCTACCACTGAGCTACATTCTCAGCCTCCAAAGCTTTTTTAATACAAGGAGTACATATTCTAGAAGAACTGGTAATTCCAAGGATTTAAGAAGGAAAAGTACACATACTCCTCCTTCCTAGTAATTGAGAACTTTCCCCCAGGAAGCATCTTGGAGTATCCTCTAAAAGAAAGACTAGATGCAATTCTGACTTGTGTTTCCAACTAAGTCGCTGACTCAACTATGTAGTACAAAGCACAATATACACTGCTCCATTGAACCTCAGCTTTCACATCTGTAGTAATGGAAAATATTCAGATATGCCAGAGGGATACGTGAATTATCTAATGTATGATTATATAAAGTGTTGAACTCATAAAACTCAACATAAATGCTATACAGTATTACTAACTTAGATGAAAAACAGGCATCACAGGAAAACAGTAATTAAACGCCAATAAAGGTAAGCAGCTGAGCAGAAAAACAAACTGACTTTCGGAGTTAGGCGCCAGAGATCCTACTGGGCTGAGGAGTTGAAAGAACAAAATGGTATAAAGGAAACTGAGTGTCATGCTCTGCCACAGTCCCCCAAACAGGGTAAGGATCAGGTATTTCTTAAACTAAAATTCTCTCTCTCTAGCTGGAATCATTTTGAAAATAAAATATTCTTCAAAATTAAAGTAAACTCCAGTAAACAGGACTAGGAATTTTCAAGAAACAGATAAGTTTGTATGTTCATATGTAAGTATGCACAAATACACAATATATAAACATAGCCTATGTGCAGTGCGTACAAAACAGTCTCAAATGCCAACAGGCCCATTAAATAAAAAGTAGTGTAAAGGGAATGAACAGTTGCAGTAATTAAAGGATTTTGACTGGATAATTCTTTAGAAATATTTTATATATAGTGTTTAACTTTTTAAGAATAAAGTAAATATTCTATGATTAAATAGCAAACCAAGCACACAACATGAAATAAAAGGCAGGCAGATAAATGGTTTTACAGAGCAACGGTGTTGTATCTGAAAGACACTGGCTTATCACAAATAGTATGAACTCCATGGACAACATTTTTGTGATTAGAAGACCTGGATATATATTTTCAAAGTCTTTTCTTCATTATAATACACTCAAGTCATAAGAAACTACCTTCAACATGGGAGTCTCTAAAACTTTGACATGATCATATTCACTATTCTGCTAGTATATATGTAATTACTCAACAGAAGTTTAGTCTCTGTAAGACATATTTCATAACCGTGGAAACTTACCTTTAAGAATACAAAGCTTCTATGCGTGACTCATAAAGCAACTACAAATCTCCTTATAAGCACATCTATCTCGAATGGTATATTACAGCCATAATTGTTAAATTCACTGTTAATTATTACTTAGAAATTCATGTTTATGGCTGTTTTACCTGCTATATGAAAACATATTCCTGATATATTGTTCCTTAACTTCCTGGATCATTATACTCTGGCTTAGCCATGTAAGAGAAGTTGACAATGTAGTCTTTTCTTCTTTAGTTACTAGTTAAGAATAAACTGAGATCTGACACCAGGGAAAGAAAATTATGCTAATTATTCTCTTTGAATGCTTTCTTTGGTTCTTTAGTAGAGAAAAAACTATATTGCCCAGGCTGTCTCTTGCAGTTTGGTAGAGGAGAGTTAACAGTTCTACTTTTAGGTTGGTAAATACTTTAGTGATAGGGAACTTGAAGCAATTAGCAGTGACATCTCAAATATAAGTTTTTAACACATTTTTAGTGATTTTGTTACACTGTATATTTGCTTTAACCTTTTTAGAAATTGAATATATATTGTATGAATAGCTAGATGTGCAAGGGGTGAGTGTGATATGGAGGTATCATTTAATTTTCTAAGGAAAGCACAAAATTATTTTGTTCTTTAAAACAATTCTTATTTATGCTGGCACATGCCTGTAATCCCAGTGGCTGGGGAGGCCGAGACAGGAGAATTATGAGTTCAAAGCCAGCCTCAGCAATTTAGCAAGGTCTTAAGCAACTCAGTGAGACCTGTCTCTAAATAAAATACAAAAAAGGGCTGGGGATGTGGCTCAGTGGTTGAGTTCAATCCCCGGTATCAAAAAAAAAAAAAAAAAAAAAAAAGAAAAGAAATCTTATTTATAAGCTAGAAAAGCATTTTTAATAATCATTTGATGTAAATACTCTTTACAACTAAAATCAACACCCATCAAAAAAGAACAGGCATTTTCAAAAACATAACAATTTACTAATCTTTCTGGATGAACCATCTACTGCTTAAATTTTTGAATTAGTAAAGGAAAAAGGGAGTGGAAGTTATATTTACCAAATTTCTCACATGTGCCAGAAGGTTTTTTTTTTTTTTTTGATACTGGGAATTGAACCCAGGGTGCGATATCACTGAGCTATATCCTTAGTCCTTTTTATGTTGAGACAGGGCCTTGATAAATTGCTGAGACGGCCTAAACCTTGCAATCCTCCTGCCTCAGCCTCCTAAATTGCTGAAATTACAAGTGTGCCACCTGGCAGGCCCTGGCTAGAAGCTTTACATGTGTTAGTGTGTTTAATTTTCTCAACCATCCCTTGATGTTCACATTATAATCTATCTATCTATATATTTATTATTATTTTTTTAATTAGCTACACATGACATTACAATGATCTTGGCAATTTGAATCATTGGGGAATAATTTTATAGATACATTCACCATAAGAGAAGAAGCCAGGATGATGTGTATTCAAAATCCAGGATAAATCTACTGTAGGACTTAAAATGCCATTGGCTCAAAGTAGGGTGAAAAATTGAGGGTTTACAGAATTGTAAGTACAGTGATCCAGCTTACTAGATTCAACTTGTTGACTGAGCTGTCACTTTTATGCCATCATCATATCACATCACTTCATTTATGTAACCAGGGTACAACTAGAGTTGCATCTCAAATGCTACAATTATATGACTGGAAGCACTTTGCTTTTTCAAATAAGAAGTTAGTTCTTCAATTGAGAGCAAGCTTTCATATCCTGTGAAATATCTATTCAGGATCTAAGAAATTATGATATGATAAATTTATAAAACAGTGTTAAAACACTTAGATGTTTAGCTAAAATTTTTTGCTATTTAATTCTATAATTGGCATAACTTTAATGATTACAGTTGCTATTAAAAGGAAGTCTTGATTTTTTTTTTAACCAATTTCAATATATTTTGAGAAATATAATTTCTCTTTTATGGTGCTGGGGATTAGATCCAGTGCCTTGCACATGCTAAAGAAGTGCTCTACCACTGACCTCTACATACCCAGTCTTTTTTTATTTTGAGACAGGGTCTATCTAAGTTGCCCAAGCTGACATTTAGGACCCTCTTGTCTCAGCCTCTGGAGAAGTTGGGATCACAGATGTGTACCACTGCATTTGGCTTAACATATACATATTTAAAAGGTAAGATAAATACTAATAAAAGCAAATGTTTACTGAATATTTATAATATTTAGGCATTAAACTACATCTATTATAAAAATAATAAACTATAAATCTCAGAACAACCATATGAATTAGGTGCTTTTATATCTTTTATTTTTATTTATTTTTTATGTGGTGCTGAGGATTGAACCCAGTGCCTCACGCATGCCAGGCAAGTGCTCAACCACTAAGCTACAACCCCAGCCCCAGAATTAGGTTCTTTTAACAATGGGTTCATTCACAGATGTGGAAACTGGCTGGCTATGCTGTTCAATACCACAGCCATTAGCCACAGAAACAACTAAAATGAAAATTAATTTAATTAAAATAAAAAATTTAGTCCCTCAGTAATACTACCTTCATTTCAAATGAACATTGAATACATGTGACAAGTGCCTAACGTACTAGAGAGTGCAGATATGGAATATTTTTATTATTGCAGAAAGTTCTATATGACAATGGAGGTTTAGAGAGTTTCACTTACTTGCTTCAATTCAACGCTAAGTACTGGGCTAGATTTGAGTTCATGTAACCAGTCTATAAGGCCTGCCTTCCCTTTTGAAATTTTTTCTTTTGGATTTAACCCAAGGGCTACCAATTAGCTACATTGGTAGAGGGTCCCTTTTTATATTTTATTTTTGACAGGATCTCACTGAGTTGCTAGGGCCTCACTAAACTGCTGAGGCTGGACTCAGACTTGCAGAAATCTTTTCTTTTTTAAACAAAAACAAATTTTTTATAGAGTATTTTAAGAGAGAAAATAAAACAAACCCCCACATGTCTGTCAGTCATCTAACTTCAACAATTACCAGCACGAAGCCCTACTATTTTTTCAAAACCCAGTTTTATGCTATTTTTTTTTTGCTTTTCTTCCTTAATTATATTAATTAATGAAAATTATCTATTATTCAGAATAGATCATAGGGAGGCAGTGTGACATAATGGTTCAGAATATAGAATTAGAAATCAGACAGACATGGATTTAAATTTTGGCTCTACCACAAAGCTATAGTTAGAGGGCAAATTGTCTAATTTCTCTAGGGTTGAATATGTTCCTCTTTCTAATTTTCTCTTTTAGTTATTTTTTTCCATATTAAACATTTTTAGCCATTTCATTCTTATTAAGTATTCAAGTACATTTATTTGAAAGTATCTGTAAAAGGGGTAATTTTCCAGCTCTTTATATATATCCTCTTAATGATTATAAAGGTAAAATAAAAATATTACAAATAATTTCAAATATAATAAATATACAACATAGGAAGAGGAAATTGTATTGGAGGAGCTGGGGTTGTGGCTCAGTGGTAAAGCACTCGCCTAACATGCAGCATACTTGAGGCACTGAGTTCGATCCTCAGCCATCACATAAATGTAAAAAGATATTGTGTTCATTTAAAACTAAAAAAAAAAAGAACAATTAAAAAAAATTGTATTGGAGACTTCTTCCTCAGTTTCCCTAAGAAAACCAAGTGCTGAGTAGATGATGAAAAACAATTTCTGTAGTCCCCAATAGCTGCTAATAGCATAATTAATTAATTACTGTCATTTATTATTATCATCATTATTATTATACTGGGGATTGAACCCAGGGTCACTGTTCTACTAAGCTACATCCCTATGGCTTTATTTTTTTTAATTTTTTTTTTAATTTTGAAAGAGGGTCTCTAAGTTGCTCAGTTTGGTCTCAGATTTGCAGCCCTCCTGCCTCAATCTCTTTGAGTAGCTGGGATTAGAGGTGTGAGTATTTTGATGTTTAAAGCATAAATGTGATTTTAAATTTTTTTATCACATTATCAAAAATTAAGAACAGGAGTATAGTTCTGGACTAATTAACTTGGTGGGGTAAAAAATCAGACAATAATCATTCTGATTCATCAAAAAGAACACATACTTTGGAGTTAATTATGAATTGTTTAATATTTTTGGTTGTATGCCTTAGGAAACATGGATTTAATAACTATTTTCTCCTTAATGTTTTTTTTTTTTTTAAATATTTTATTTTTTTGTTTTAGGTGGACACAATATCTTTATTTTATTTTTATGTGGTGCTGAGGATCGAACTCAGTGCCTCGCGCATGCCAGGCCAACATGCTACCACTTGAGCCACATCCCCAGCCCCTCTCCTTAATGTTTTCCAATTTTTAATTCAACAATTTCAATTCCTATTTAATGCTCTGTTTTCACACTTAGGATGGGTTAATAATTTATCCAGAAAAATTTAAATTGTTGCACTAATCTTAAAATTTAATAACCAAGCCAACTAACTAACCATTCATGAGTTAAAACCTTTTTCTTTCTTTTTGGTACTGGAAATTGAACCCAAATTGAACCACTGAGCCACATTTCCAGCCCTTGGAATTTATTTAGAAATAGGGTCTCACCGAGTTGCTTAGGGCCTCACTAATTTCCTAAAGCTGGCTTTGAACTTGTGATCCTTCTGCCTCAGCTTCCTGAGCTGCAGGTGTGTGCAACTGTGCCAGGCTCTTAAAACCTCTTACTTAATACGCAGTATTATTCTTTTATTTCTGTTTTTGAAATTATCATATAGATGAAGGCAAAGAATTTGAATGGAGCAAATAGTTTGGATAAGGTCTCAATAGGCAAACAAATTTCAAACTAAGGTAGTGAAAGGAATTCATTTATGTACATGTAGGTAATTCATAGGTTATTCCATGTAAAGAGCCAGGGGAAGAAAAGCCTAAAAATTCCTTGGCAAAGTCAATATGAATTTAAGTAAATGTGTACACATTATTTATTTAAAAAGTCATTTTAACTCCATAAATGGCATCTGGTTATAGTCTTTTTGGCCAATCCACATCCCATTAGACAACTCTAAGAAAACAAGTACAGGGCAGCTACTGTGTCCCTAGAAAGAATGGAATGTTTTTTTAAGTTTATTTTTATTTTTTGTAGATGGACACAATCTATCTATCCATCTATCCCTTTTAAAAAAAAATATTTATTTTTTAGGTGTAGATGGACACAACACAATGCCTTTATTTTTATGAGGTGCTGAGGATCGAGTCTGGGTCCTGCCCGTGCTAGGTGAGCACTCTACTGCTGAGCCACAATCCCAGCCCCATCCATCATGAGCACCCCATGTGGTGCTCAGGATCCAACTTAGTGCCTCACATGTTCTAGGCAAGTGCTCTACCACTGAGCTACAATCCCAGCACAGGTGGAGTGTTTTGTTAATAAGTGTAGCACTATTATTTCCTTGCTAAAATTTCTTATCATCAGGTAGAATATAAATACCTGATGCGATGTGACCAAGTTTTCTTAAGAGAAGAATTGAATTCTCATTTAAGACTACTTTCATCATATAAATTTATTTTCACAATTTACAATCCAAAATCATCTACAACAGTATTATGTTTATAATGTCATTATTCAAACAAAAAAATTTGTAGATGGTTTACCTGACATCTTTCTCAAGTTGTGCTATACACTTCATCAATGAATCAATCTTGGAATCTCTCTGACGTACCGATTCAATAAGGTATCTGTAAGGTTGTTGCGTCTGGTTTAACATCGAATTGGCTCTGTCAAGCTAAAGAAACACAAGTTTAATTAGACTTTAGAAAATCAGATAAACTAAATTCATTCAAAGTGTCCTTGTATAAATGTAGCATACTAAACCTTTTTTTTTTTTTTTTTTTAACCACTGAGCCATATCCCCAGGATGTTTTATTTTGAGATAGGTTCTTGCCAAGTTGCTTAGGACCTCATCAAGCTGCTGAGATTGGCTTTGAACTTTCGATCTTCTTGCCTCAGCCTCCCGAGCTGCTGTGATTATGGGCATGTGCCACCATTCCTAGGAGTTTTTTATATATTCCAAATAATAAACTTATGAGATATGTAATTTTTAAATATTTTCTCCCATTTGTGCATTGTCTTTACACTTTCCTGATTATGCCTTTTGAAGCATAAGATTTAATGCAAGTCTAATTTGTTTCTATTTCTTTGGTCTGTCTTTTTGATGAAATGATCACCGAACACAAGCTCATATTTTCTCTGATGTTTTCTTCTATGAAAGTTTTATATCTTTGCTTTGAAATTTAGGTCTTTGATTTACTTTTAGTTTTTGTATATGGTATAAGGTCAGGGTCCAACTTCATTCTTTTTAATGTAGACACTCAGCTTTATCTGCTCCATTTGTTGAAAAAACTGTCTTTTCCATACTAAAGGGTCTTGGGAACTTTGTAAAAAACTACTGACCACATCACATGTATATGTCTTTATTTCTGGCTCTCATTTCTATTCCATTGGTTTATGTGTCTATCTTTATGCCAGCAGCACCCAATTTTGATTACTATAACTTTGCAGTAAGTTTTAATATCTGGAAATGAGCTCTCCATCTTTATTTTTCCTAATCAAGAGTGTTTTGGCTATTAGAGGTCCCTCCCTTAACGCTTCATAGGAATTTTAGGATGGGATAGGATCTCACTAAGTTGCTGTCTTGACTTTAAACTTGTGTTCCTCTTGCCTCAGCTTCCCAACTTGCTGGGATCATAGGTATATTTAATCTGTAGATTACTTTGGGTGGTATTTTTCTCTTAACAACAGGAAATCTTCTAGTCCATGAACATGAGATATCTTTTGCCTATTTGGTTAAATTTATTCCTAAGTATTTTATTCTCATTGATGTTATCTGTAAATGGAATTGTTTTCTTAGTTTATTTTTCCAAGTGTTCATTTCTAGTGTACTATGTACAATCTTATATTTTTTTCATATTTTTTTAGTTGTGTGACTTTTTTTTTAAAGAGAGAGAGAGAATTTTTAATATTTATTTATTTTTTTAGTTTTCGGCGGACACAACATCTTTGTATGTGGTGCTGAGGATCGAACCCAGGCCGCATGTATGCCAGGCAAGCGTGCTACCGCTTGAGCCACATCCCCAGTCCAAGTTGTGTGACTTTTTTAAAGTAATTTTTTTTGTGTGTGTGGGGATTCTGGGAATTGAGTCTGGGTGTACTTTACTATTGAGCAACATACCCCACCTTTAAAAAAAAATTTAAATTTTTTGGTACTGGGGATTGAACTCAAGGGTGCTTAACTACTAAGCTACATCCACAATTCTTTTTATTTTTTGGGGGGGTACCAGGGATTGTACTCAGAGGCATATAACCACTGAGCCACATTCCCTATTTTGTATTTTGAGTCAGGGGTCTCACTGAGTTGCTTAGGGCCTCGCTAAATTATTGAAGCGGACCTCAAACTTGTGATCTTCCTATCTCACATCTCCTGAGCTGCTGACCTTTTTTATTATTTTTAATTTTTTGGTACTAAGGATTGACCCAAGGGTGCTTAACCACTGAGCCACATCCCAAACCCTTTTTATTTTGAGACAGGGTCTCGCTAAATTGCTTAGGGCCTCACTAGGTTGCTGAGGCTGGTTTCTAACTTTCGATTCTCCGGCTTCAGCCTTCTGAGCTGTTAGGATTACAGTTGTGTACCACCCTATGTGACTAAATTAATTTAATTGGTGCTTTATAACTGTATATAATAGTAGGATATACTGTGATGCATTCATACATACATATAACATAATTTCATTTCTTAAAATCATATAACCTTTATCAGAATAATTTTTCCAGGTTGGTGAAGAACTTGAATTTTTATTTTTAATGGTTACAAAACTGTCTAACAAGCCCATGTATCATAGTTTAATTATGCTGCTTACAGCAATGCATATATAACATATTATCAATGTCTGACTGGTTAAATAATGTTATAACAACTCTTTTTTTGTTTTGCTCATTTTTTGTTTTTCTTTTTTCCTCAAGCAAATGTAAAATGTATATCACTAAAGAGCTGAACAACACCAGGCTGGGGTTGTTGTTCCTCAGTGGTAGAGCACTTGCTTAGCATGCTTGAGGCTTGGGTTTGATCCCCAGCACCATGAAACAAACGAGACAAAATCACCCAAAACCCCACAACATGGTAAGCGTCTCAATGTGACTAGGCCCTTATTTTGGTACACAATGAGCCTCTCCCACAACCCTGAGACAGGATCTTCCTATGTTGCCCAGGTTGATTTCAGACTTCCAGGCTCAAGTGATCTTTCTGCCTCAGCCTCCCAAGTAGCTGGGATTATAGGCATGTACCACCATGCATAGCACCATTATAAGTCTTTGGAAAAAGTATTCTAAAGTTGAATATGAAAAACTGAACAATCATGACAAAACTGGTGGAAATTTATTATGAGAGTAAGGGGATAGAGTGGGGTGAATTTTATTATACACAGAATAATATTATAACATTCCTAACTATTCTGACTTTGACAATAAATTTTTAGTCTTTTATATATGTTTTAAATCCCCCCTTTCCTTTCTAATCACCAACGAATTAACTAAGGTTGAAGATTTGCTGTTCTTCTGGGACAAGAAATGATCTTTATTTTCCCCTCAAATCAATTTATGAAATCTATATACTTCTAAAAAATTGAGTCCTAAACATTTATTTTAGCATTTCAACGTTCTTTACTCATTTTAATAAGACAATAAGTGATTAGCCCAGGAGATAATAAAGCAGGAAACAGGGAGATGGGTTGTGGAAGACACAGTGGGAGGTGGGAAGAATCACTAGCAGAAGTGAGAACATCCTTAAACTGAAAACCGTGAGGCGCAGGTGGGAAAGAAGGAAAGTGAGGCCAAGAAGGGACTGACTAAAGAATGTCTGCTTATAGTTAGTGGGCTATTTTATTAAAGAATTTAAATTATTTATCTAAATTATATTAAAAAATATTAGGAAATTTTCTTGTGGTTATGTTAACTATAGTCCAGGAAAGAATTCTTCAAAGAAAAGGAGATGAATAACATACAGAAGGATTTCTACTTTTGGACACTATTCATTATAGTTAAAGCAGACCCATAAAGAAAAAAAAACAAAGTATTTTCTATAACTTGGATTTTACTGTACTTTTTCTTTGCTTTGGTAATCATTCTTTAAAATCTACTACAATGTCCCCTGGAATCTTATTATTCTACTAAGTTACTTTATGAACTTCAAATATGCAGTTGGACTAAGTTCTATTAACCTGTGTAACCAGTTTCTCTAGTCAATTAAATCAAACAATTGCCTTGACTTTGTTTTCACAGAACTGACCCTAACTGAATAAACTGAACTGACAAGTAGCTTTGTGTTTCAAAGTGCAGAATAGTCCATGTGTGCATGTGGGATGGAGTGGGGGTACGGGTGGCAGGGAAGGACTAAGAGCATTTACTAACTGTGGTTAACTGTGGCCTAGAAGGAGCTATTTAAAACATCCAATCTAACTTCAGATACACAAACAATATCTCATAAAAGCAGTCAGTCTTATATATCTTAATTCATTTTTTCATGACAGCAATTACATATATTTGGCTTTAATGTTACAAACAAACTTAAGAGCTTAAAGCCTTACTTCCAAGGTGTCTAATATACAAGCTAGGACTTCCTCGATCTTTGGATAACAAAAACTACAATGGTATTGTCACTCTTAAGGGTGTATTTCTTTATAAACCTGTTTGTAGGCTTTTAAAATCCCCTGGTATCTCTCTTTCTCCCTCCTTTCTCCATGGTTTTTATTACTCGGGAAAAAAGAACATGTCTCTCAATTAAAAGTGATAATTTTTATTTTTGAAATAAAAATAACACAATTTCATTAAGTTCCTCCAACATAATCTTACAAAGTCTTTTCTATAACAAGCCAGGTATGTGGCACATGCCTAGAATCCCAGCAACTCAGCAGACTGACATAGGAGGATTACAAGTTCAAAGCCAACTTTAGCAACTTAGAACAACTCTGTCTCAAAGTAAAAAATAAAATAAACTGGGGATATGGCTTGGCGGTAAAGCACCCCTGGATTCAATTTCTAGTACCAAAAACCAAAAACCAAATCAAAACCCCCAAAACTTCTAAAAATAAACAAAAAACAAGTTTTTCTGTAACTACAATAATTAGTATTCAAAAAGTTTCACAATCGCTCACTTTACCTGTTGTTAGTAATCTGTTCCTTATAGGAAAGCTTTTGTAATTAATGACTCAGGAATTATGTACGTAATAAATGACTCAGGATTAACCCACGACATAATATTTTAATATTTTATAGAATTGTTATTCCTCCTTTGTTTCAATAACTTATATGTATGATTCAGAGGAAAGTAGCACCTGATTAAAACATAACTATATATTTTTTGATACAAATACTAATTTAAATTATTCTTAGATAACAATCTGAAATTATTTTTCTCTTATAATTTAAAAATATCTAAAGTTGACAACTTTTTTTTTTTTTTTTTTACATTTTTCCTGAATGTGGAGTTTAGTTTCACAGAAACCCTTGGGAATGTGGTTCTTTCTTGCTGGGGATAAAGTGCATTCCTGTTGAAGGAATTTAACACTGAGTTGATTTCTGTGTATAAAACTTTATACAAATGATATGTTCTAGTAGTAGAGATAGATTACACAAAACCACCCACACACCCTTGCTTAATCTTGGTGATCATGCTATGAATGTAAAATACCTGCTTGGCATTCAATATGAGGAAACATGTTGGTACTACTT